GTCTGACCTGCTGCACGGTATGCCAGTCGAGACTGCTGGGCCGTCGGCTGCGTTGGCGGCGCTCGGGCCTGCACTTTGCGGCCAAACAGTGAAAGTGGAGCCGCAAGGAGGCTGCGCTGCCGCCGCCGAGCGCTCGGCCAGTCGATCGGACGTCAGTCGGAGGCAGAGACTGGACGGTGATGGTTCCGACGTTACGCAGCTGATGTGACTGGTGTGGGTGATGGCCAGAAGAAGCGCGTAGTGCGACACTGCCAGAGGTCGCCGCTAAACTTGCTGCCACAGAGACTGACACCGGCGGGTGTGAGCGGGCTCGATTTTGTGATCGATTCTGCACCAGCACCCCGTGAAGTTACGACCAAGGCACGATCCGTTCATCGCTCGGCATCTCTCCCACGCGGGCGTCAGCGCTCATCAAAAGTCGTTTGAGAGATCGCCGATCGTCATCGAATTTCGCCCGTCATCGCGTGCGTTCGCCAGTCACCGTCTCGCGTTACCCGTGTCACCTCGGGTCACCTCCCGTCGCCGAGCGTCCCGAGCGTCAGAGCAGCGCTCGTAGCGCTGATGCCGCTGCGAGGGCCAGTCGGCGGCGCGCGCTGAGGGATGCGGGAGTGGCTCGGAGCGCCGCGCGGCCGGCCGGCAGACATGTAGATGTCCGCTACCGGGGAGATTCGCCTCCCCGGCTACAGGGTGCGCAAACGACCGTACGACAGCCGCTGGTCGCCCAAGCTGCTGGAACATATGACCAGGTGAGCGGTGGATAGAGGACATCACAGGAGAATGCTGCAAACGAGATAAAAGCGCACGGAAAAGGGAGCGTGGATGGGTTGATGGCTTAATGGCAGAAAATTTATATACGAATTATTTGCTTGGTTTGAACAGCATCCCGAATGATGGTGCTCACTTGTTGAACATCTCATTTAGTACCCCATCTCTTCTAGCCATGAAATATAGCAACATGACTTTTATTTGAGTGTAATACCGGTTGCTGATTCCTTATCACATGTAGGTACTTATCTGCTGAAGGATATAGGTAGTGACACAAACGATCGGTTACGGCCTAGTTTCTGTTAGATATGTGTTTGGCTTGCAGCTTAGGTGTGATAATGTGCCACATCTGCAGGAATCTATGAGGGGAACCGGTTTGGTTTATGATATAGTCTCTGTCATATGGATGCTGGGATTTAGCTGTTGGTGGATGATTGGCGCTTCATGCAGCTGCCATGCTTCCGAAACATCTAATTACTACTTGCCATGTGATTGCATGTCTGAGACGCGTTACCCGTCATTCTGCATAATTAATGAAGTCAAGCAAGTTAGGAGCGTGCCATATTTTCGAATGAAGCAACCCAGTCTGGTGAAACTGGCCATTCTGCTTCCACTCAGTTTTTCTTTTTAAATAAATATTTATTTCAAAATGTGTACGCGCAAAATCTGTAACTTTCAAAACTGTACTGTGATATATTTGGCTAGCTGAGAAGGGTGGATCACTTTGCATGTGGTCAGTGGTGCACTACTGGCTATTGTGACACCACTGCATCACGCCACAGTGTAGCAGCCTATACGACAGGTGGCTCTCGGTCGTGTCTCGGCCCAGATACCGTCCGGCAGCCCCATCCCGGCCCATTCACGCCACGCTCGGTAAAAACGGTGGCGTGAGCATGAGCTACTGGAGCGCCGGCCGGCCGCGTGATTGGGGTCTGACCGGCCGGCCGTCCGCCGCTCCTAACCAACCGGCGCTCACGGCTCTCAGTCTCCCCAGGTCCCTCGTTCGGCGGCAGTATCTGCCAGCCGGTCTGATTTACGGGGTGTTTTCCAGGGGCGCGAGCCAGGGCGTGGTCGGAGCAGGCTGGCTTCGGGGATCGGGCAACATAGCGCTGGTCTCCGTACCGACCGGTCGCTGCTGACCGCTATTTAAATTCACACTTCAAACCGATCAGGCACTGGTTTTATTGGCTGTTTTCGCTACTCTGAGCTGGTGCCCTGCGCTTGTCATGTGCTTATCGCCTGCTTGTTGTCATCACGACCCTCCTAAAAACGCCGCCGGTCTTGGTCCGCTCGTCACCTTACAGCGCTCGCCACGCGCCGGCGACGGACGGCCGTGGGGATACGCTGCAATACGGGCGGCGCAGTCCCCAGAACCGCAACTCGGCATAGAACACTAACACCAAGCTGGGGTCAGGCGCTGGCGCTGCATCTTACCGAGTACATTTTATTTTTAGGAAAGGAAGAATGACACCGTTATAGCTACACACACTCCATGCATTCAAGCTAATGCTTTTTGAGGTGTAAAATTTGTGCTTTAACGCCATTTTGAAACATGCGGGAAAAAATAAAACATAAGTTTTGTGGTATAATCTACACCCACGCCTATTTCACTGTGACTGCACATACTAAGACCATATCCGATCTACCTCTTCACTCACCCATTCTCAGGAACTGCAGACGTGCATTTCTGCCGGAGCGCGATACCCATAAACTCTCCGGGCGCCATAAAGCCCGTCGCCGCCGGTCACGGGGCCGTGGGGCCGGCCCGTTAGCGACTACTAATGGTTATGGATCTGGACTTACCGTGCAGCGGCGGCTGCCTCCTCCGCGGCGCGGTGAGCAGCCGCCGCTGATGTACGGCGATTGTCTGTGGCCGCCGGCGGTGCTGCCGGGTGCCGTCGGCCGCCCTCCGCCGCCGCTCGGCGCTGACTTATGTCGGCCCTCTGCTGTGACGGTAATGACAGGTGGCAGGAGCTGCGTCGACCACGGGCCGCCGCTCTGGGTCAACTGGCTACAGGCTGGCGGTTTTTCGCCTATTGCCCGCATCAGTCCAGTTGTATTGATTGATTCGCCGGGCGGACTAAAGTGCTTTAGGACATAAGCACAGTTGGCTAGTTCCTCAAGGCACTTCCGGTCCCGTAGCTCAGTTGGTAGAGCGTTGGACTCCGCGTGGTGACTGGTGAGAGCACGCGTTCCCGGTTATAACAGTCCGGGTTCGAAGCGCGACGGGCGCTTGACATTTATGGACCTCCTGTCAGGTATGGTTGCGGTTGGTGGCAGGCCGTAGCCAGGCGAAGTCAGTGAGGGGACCGGTCGTGCGCGGCTATGTGCGCACGTTAAACTTTGGGCTCTAAATTCTGCCATAGAACTGGAATTGCGCGATCGGAGGGTAGAGAGCATGGTCACCGCAACAAGCTTCGCTTAGCGGTGGCTCTGTCCTTATGAATTCTTCCTATCAATAGGTTCGGACTAAATTTATTTAAAAACAGTTCCTCAAAGCATTTGCAATAGATCATAATTTGGCCCATTCATAGCATTTATTTAAACAAGCAATTAACCAAGCAATTAGCAATTAAGCAATTGCTTGGTTAAATCAGAATGAGCCAAATCTACATAATCTGAAACGGAAAACCGATTTTTTCAGTGTTGTTGGCTAAGTCTTTCGAACAGAGTCGTGCTATAACCGATGGGTGCTCGACACAAGTAGGACACATGTTTTACAGGAAACACAAACTCATTTTATGCTCGCTTCCGTATGCATGACTCTCCTTCATAAATAAGCGGGGACTGACTTTGCTGACAGGTTATGTCAGCTAGTTTTGACTTCGTCACGCGGCATCATCCGTATGTGAGCAATCTACGTGTTTTACAGCAGAAAACACGGCATTCAGTTCCGCCTTGCTGTGGTTCGATGCCGTAATTCGACTACTGATCGACAGCATGTACTGACGGGGCTCATGCCCGTAATTACCTATGATTTTGGGTAAAATGATACCTGAAGAGGTCATAGCTATCGAAGTTATTACTGCCAACCGAGAGGTAACCGGTGATCCTGATCTATGATCCGTCCTGTGCTACTTACGTTAGATACATGTGCTCACCTAAAACGCGCATAAATAATAAATAATTTTTACCCATCTTAAATATTGTCATTTTGAAGTTATCTACCGCTCCTTATACCGTGTTTCCGGTATAAAAAGGGCAAACTAAACAACCCTCACTGTGATAAATGCAAAATGAAACAACCCGAGCTGCTGTAACCAACCATAGTTGATGGTATTTCACGATTCTCGATTTCAAGTACGCTTCATAACTCCATTTCTTCTGACACTCCAGAAAATGCTGCTGTGCTTGATTTCAGTATGAAATTTATTTACAGCAACATACAAATATTTCCCAAATATTTTACCCGTGAAGCTCAACAGACACCTGAGCCCACATACATCACACGCCTAATGAGGTTGCTTGGTTGGCAGCTCCGCGCCATTTGCGTCACCTGCTTCTTTCCCGACGCCTTTTGGTGGTTTGTTTGGCTGGCTTTACGAGCTGCCGGTCGGCCCGGGGGCAGTGGCCGGGTGGGTTTCACACGGCACTCTGCCTGTCGGAGCCGTCACCGGTCACCGGCTGTGAGCCGTTCCCGACGACTGTGGTCGGAGCAGTGGACGCAGTGCGGTCCGCCGGCAGTGTCACTGCGGTCTGTTATCAGTGTCACTGCGCCCGGCCGTGCTCACGCCGCGCCCGAGCACTGAACTCGGCCGCACGTGCTGAATGCCTCGCGTGCCGCGCTACAATAAGTCGCTCACGTGCGCGCTGGGATGAGGAGAACCATGTGGTGTTTCGGAGGGATTTTCTCACTGCGGTGTCACGGAACAGTGTGTTGTTCTAACGAGACCACGTTTTGGTGCATCCGGTACCACTGGTGGGCCTCATTAACTGGCACAATGGTGCCGTACATGTAGTATTTGTTGAATTTAAGGTAATGAATAAACCTTTTGTATTCCTCATCTAACATAGGTATCTCTCTTTTCGACATAATAAGAGCTATAAACCTATTGCATCTTTGCTAACCAAGCAGTAACTGATTCTGAAACAGCCCGTAATTCAATAGACGAATAATGCAGAAGTTTGTTCTTACATAGTTCTTATCGAACTTCGACGAACACTTAGTTGCATCAATGCTTGCTTACTATTACGTTCGTTCTATAAATTGCACTGATTTGTTGTTCTGTTTTCAGACCTCGCACTGGATTTACCAAAGAGAACCTAGAATGGCTGGAGCAGTTGTTCAGAGGTCAGCTGAAGAATTCTCAGGAGCTTCACCTGGACGACTTCACCAAGATCGTCCACTCCAAAAATGTGAGCTATATTCATATTTTATCATCATCATACAGGTCGCTTGTTGTCGGGGTAGACTCCTGTTTCCTTTTGACTGCGCTTTTGTCTGTTCTTTCTTCCTTATATCCCTTCTTGCACATCTTTCTTTTCTCGTGCCCGCCTCCGTCTCACGGTCCTCTGCTGAGGTATCGCCCGTCGCCTCGGTTGACCGGAAATCCCCGGAAGAACGGCCATAACGCAGCAGTCCACATGTTTCTTCCACGTCCACCGTGGTGACATGTTGACCGTCTGCTGCCCACCGTCCATCGGTCACCGTCCACCGTCCACCGTCCACTGCCCACCGTCCGCTGTTCACCGTCCACCGTCCACTGTCCACCGTCCACTGTCCACTGTCCACCATCCATCAGTCATCACCCATCGGTGGCCGTCCACCATGCAACGTCCGCCATGTATCTCGTGTCGAGTCGTGGCGAGTCAACAGGCCGACACAGCCTCTGCACGTACTGGCGGTAAGGTCTGGCTCAACAGAGCCCCCGGTCATTGCTGGCACCGCCTCCTCCCCCCTCCCCAGCCACCCTCGGCCCCTCCCCCTCCTCCAGCAGCCCCTAGCCAGCTAATATTTGGAAATCCCTAGCTAATGGACCATTGAGTCGCTGTTGCTCAGAATGGCTCGTGAACAGAACAAGTTGAACCACTGACGGGAGTGAGCTCGTTTGAATTATTTGCCGGGAATGATAAAACACGGATAATAAAATCCAACTGATAAGGCGCCTACTGCTTGACTGCGAACTGTTTACGAGAGATTGTGACTCATTTCGCTATTGAAGAAGCTGTGATCCATATAAGTTATGGGTTCGGACTAGCCGCAATTCTTGCATGCATCCCACTGACCCAATTATATTACTGGCAGTTTTAGCTCAGTGGAATATGGACAATGTAGCTATTACCAAGCAGCAACGTGTTGCTGCTCCGCTCCCGTTGCATACAGGGTACCTTTGTTCACGGGGATAAAAACTGGACAATGGTGGCGGAGTTTTAAACGGCCTTTGATAGGAGAATGGCACGCGAGCGGTTCCAGGAAGTAAAACTAATGTGCACTTGGTAGAACATCACTTCAACTCTCGTGACTATTCAGGGAGCCAATTGGCAATACTGCGCACTAACTTCATGGAAGTTATGTGTGTAATGGGCATTGACGTTAATTAACGTACACGTTCCTACACTGATTAGCGAGTTAACATTAAATTCACATCTGGATAATTGCACGTGCCCGGGGCAGGTCCACTTGAAAGTTGATTTACGCAATGAGGGTATTTTCTGATAAAAAAGAACATTTGAAAAGCTACGTTTATTTGCTTATATGTTGTGAAATGCTCGCGAGCCCAGTGTTACAGGACTTAGCAATAAAATGACCGCAGTTTGGGCCAGTTAGTCGACTTTAAACAGGTAGTATCATGGCTAAACATAATCATTGTTCATACGGCCTTTCATTTATTGATTCATTTGGCATTCAAACATTCATTTATTCATTTACTTAATTTGATTATTCATTTATTCATTCTTTCATTCATCCATTGATTTATTTGAAACGTATATTTAGGCTATCCGAACGCCCCCCCCCCCCCCATTTGGTAATTTTGTAATTGAAATGTCAATATAAATCACTTATTTGTATTGCAAAACGGTCATTTGACAATGCGACGTGCTGCAAAAATGTTATCACGTCGCAACGTCTTTGTCGATAACTATATAGCTTCTTCATATTCCTTGATAGCAGGTTAGCAGATGTACCCGGTCTCAACACCTTTGGATGGCTCCTTTTTGCCGCATCTAACAGCGCTGCAAAACCGCTGCGCCAATCTAGCGGATTGCCGGCTCCCTTGTGGTTGGCCATGTTCTCCAGCGCCGATCACTTGTCAGCCAGTCGACTACCGACACGCTACGGCTACTAACGGGGGAGACGGACACGAAACTGCTACTGTATAGAGCGGGACAGGCACGCACGGAACGCCGAAAGACACGCACATGCCACATGGCAACGCTGGATCCCTCCAAGCTCATTCCTCTCTCTTCCTCCTCTTTATTAAGTGTGTGCTTGAGGGTCTTGCCTTGTAACATAAATATTATGCACACATGGAAACGAAGCATTCACTTGACTTGACAATCACTTTCATGCATTTTATTTTCAGCTACCTCTCAGTATTCAACATCTTGTCTTTTTGCCGCTTTGAGTTCCTACTCTGCGGCTGTGCGATTGCCTCGAGCCGCGAGCGGAACAGTGCGCGGAACGCCAGACCGCCAGAACCGATAACCGGCGCGGTCAGTGGAATCTCTGGCCGGACGTGATGCCCATCCTGATTCTGAGATAAGGAGGAGAGGGTGGCCGGCTGCCGCTGGCTCCGCCGTCCCAGGACAGGGGATTTATGGATACCGCGCGGCCGACTGCCAGGCTGCAGCTACTGTAACAGCAGCTGCGAGAGCTGCGGGGCTGATGGCAGCTGTGCGATCTGTGGCGCTGATGGCAGCTGTGCGATCTGTGGCGCTGATGGCAGCTGTGTATAGCTATGGTGCTGACGGCTGGGGGTGTTCGTGAAAAGAGCAGTACTCCGGACGGAGCTGTTCACCTGTGGGCGAAGGCCCGGTCAAGTGCTGCGTCCGCCCACCTCTCCATCGCCTGCGGCTCTCAGCTGCAGAGTGTCTCCCCTCCCATCCCGCTCGGTCCACCTGGTGCCGACCAGAGCGGCGCCAACAGTTACCCCGTGTGCCCCCGGCGGGCCGACCGCCGCTGACCGGGCGGCGGTGCTCCGCCGAAGAGTCGACAGTCTGTGCCCGGAGGGGGCCGGTCGGCGCCGTGCCGCGCCCACCCGGCCCGCCGGCAGACGGTGCCCAGTTACGCCACACCTAATTTGGCCCGGTCCGGTGTCATTTCGGGAACTAATTAGCATGGCCGGGATGTTATTGAAGGCCGCACTGAGATGGGAGGACGGCCGGTCCTCCTCTTCCTATCCGGGAGGAATGGACTCGGTGTAAGACAGCCGCGGGAGGAACCGAGCTGGCGTAAATCGGCCGCGGGAGGAACCGAGCTGGCGTAAATCGGCCGTGGGAAGAACCGATTTGGCATAAATCGGCCGCGGGAGCAAAGTGCGTCCCCCAAAAGCGTCAGTCTATATTAGGCGTGATTGAGGGTTAGACGTTAGTATGCTTACACTCATCCCCTGAGGCTAATTGAAAACCGGGCTAACTGCTCTGAATCGGAGCGCATCTCGCCTTATTCTGCATAACCCAGACATTTAGCATCTTAATTCGGCTATCATTTAATATTACCTAGTTAAGCCCTTCACTGCCGCTCTATCATTTCCATATTTTAGATTTCACACCATCACCACCTTCACGCATAACTACCGTACCACTTGATCAGGAATGCGCTCATGAATGACACGAACAAAAGGGGTCAAGGTTTTGTGTGTGCTGGTTTGTCACATGCTTTGTCCCAATCAAGGCACTATATTTTGTACGTTTATATCGAGCATGCTTGTTATGTAAGAGTCCAAGACCAGAGCCTACATAATGAAGCTGCTAGTGTGCGAGTCAGGTAGCTTTGGCGGCTGTCAAGTTTACGAGGCTGGCTTAATGATGTGAAGCACACGCGTACCACCTTGAATAGCCGGTTCGTCTGCACTCTGGGCCTCTAACATGGTTTGGTGTCACGGACAATATGCGTTCCAGAAATTGGGTGAATCTTTAGTGTCCTTGACCTTGTCCTTGAAGAATAACAAAACAACAGTGCACTTAGAGAACATAATAGCCATCCTACATTTCAGTTTCAGACACGAAATCGCGTTGTGTCGTTCGTGGAGATGCTTTATCTGTCCATGCAGCTCCTATGGCTTATTTCAGCCAACACTATAAATCATGGAACAAATCGCCAACAGTGTAAAGGGTGTATGTTCTCTCTGTCGTCGGTGTTTTAGAGAACTGTTATTCATGCATTAGCTCAGCACTCAGACGGTATGGAAAATGTTTAGCTCGCTGTCAAGTGTCTACGCTGCACCAGTGCGTTCAAAACTTAGTTGTTGTGAGTTGGGACCACTTTATATCGTCTGTTCTAAGTTTGCCTCGTCATCGTGGAACTACATTGACCATTGCTCTTCTGAAGGGTTGTCAGTTCCCGAATCAGCCCTGCGAGTTCGGGTAAGCTCCTACGGCGACCATGATCCAAATGCATCTCCTACGCTATTGAGAACTAAAGCCGCTGCACTATTCAGAACTACGGACGGGGTTGGCCCCTCCCTTCCTCCTCTCCCGGAACGACACTGGCACCCATCTCTGACTAGCGCTGTGGGCGCCGATGGCCAGCCGTCAGCCGCTCCGCTGATGGCCCACTGCCGCCCTCCGAACCGCAGAACCCATGGTTCCGTGAACACCACCTTCGCGTGGCAGCCGGGCGCGCCGCGGCTGCCGCGGCTGTGTTCTTTGTTAACCGGACCGAGGGCGATTTCGCTGCCGGTCGAAAATTGGGGTCAGGGGATCAATAATGAGCTCTCTGAAGAGGTGAGCGGAACGGGGGCCAGGCTGATGTCCATGGCCAATGGCATTGCTGTCGACATCTCCGGAACTAGCACCGATTGATTTGGCGCACAGCTGCAACGAGTCCAACGACAAACGACTTGGCAAATAGCTGGATCTGTAGACAGAATTGTATTTTCCAGGGATATTGAAAGAGCGTACTTTTCATATTTATCTCCAAGCAATGAGCGATACATTATAAGCACATAGCGCTATAGCGTTTTGTGCGCATTTACATCTGTTTTACCAGCATCAATGTGATTCCCGTCAGTGTGATGACTTCGGCAGATGAAATTATCTTGCAACATGCTCATTACTTCATAATACCAGACAATGGTGTTTATTGACACATTTGAAGGAACACGATAAGCTTAACATTTCTTGCCTGATGAGGGGAAATGCCTAACAAAACGTTTTTAACAGCTTATTTAGCTACCACTTTTATGTTGAGACAAATACACGATCAATCTCCCTCACCACAGCAGACAGGTTCGGCACACGATAACCGCTCTACCGGCCCAATCCGAACGATCTCCACTTGTTCAGCTCCCATTTCACTACAGCCCCACCGACCAGCCGGGGCTCGGGCCGCCCAGCCGCACTGACCGCAGCCGACCATTATCTGAGCGCTCACAATGCTCACAGATTATTATTTACCTTTCAGCGTGATCTATTATTTGGGTCTGGGTATTGTCCATCCATCACAGAAGAGACCATACGCAGGTTAATCGAATTAACTTTCGCCTTGATACACGCTCGGCTTGATATTGTACCAATTCCGGCTCATCATGTCGGTATTGTGGCGTTAGAGATGGGATGGTTACTCCAACAAGCATATCCCACCAATCGTTTCCGTCACACCCTATCACCACATGCTCTGTGCCACCGGACCGTCCCCACACGACCCAGTCGGAACCTAACCTTTTTACCCGACCTGACCTGACCCGAGCTGACCTTTCGCTCTCCATTGCAGCCGTTCTTCGCGGAGCGGGTGTTCCAGATATTCGACCGGGACAGCAGCGGCACGGTGTCACTGCAGGAGTTCCTCGACGCCATGCACCAGTTCGCCGGACAGTCACACGACGACAAGATCCGCTTCCTCTTCAAGGTGTACGACCTCGACGGTAGGTGGCAGCAGCTCTGCGTCGGCAGATGCCGCCGAGGCCTTCAGAGCTCCGTGACCGGTGAAGCAGCATCACCGGTGAACGGCGAACATAAAGTATCACAGAACTTCACTCGCTTTTGTAGCTAGGTCGTCTCTGGCTCTTTTCCATGGAGCGAAAGGCTGATTTGTCTTACTAGCCGATCACTTTGCTTTGGTTTTGTTATTGTTAGCTTTACCTATACTGGATGAATTAGACTTAGATACCTATTCGTCCTTCTATTTAGGAACCGTTTTCCTCGAAGCAGTACCGTTAGCCTGGTTACTGGCATATTGCACGGCAAAGTCGGTGCAAGACTCACAGAAATATAGACAGTTTTACAAACAAACGTCAATGACATGGCTTGGGAATGACATTTATTACCAAACCAACGGGCCCGATTACCAATGAATGCTTTCCGTGGCGATTTAAGTTAAACGTTTTTTTATAAGTGATAACAAAGTCCGCTAACTTGCAGGTATCCTGGTATACATTCATAGTTATGTTCATCACTATTTCCCATTGCGTTCATTGTTATCTATGTATAGCTCCATTTCTCCCGTCGACAGGTGACGGTCTGATTCAGCACAACGAGCTGCAGCACGTGATCCACGCCTGTATGGAGGAGAACGGCATGCGCTTCAGCGAGGAGCAGATCGAGGACCTGACGTGGGCGCTGTTCGAGGACGCCGACGCCGAGGAGACGGGCGCCATCACCTACGAGGCGCTCAAGGCGCAGCTGGAGAAACACGAGGGGCTGCTCGAGAACCTCTCCATCAGGTGCGCAACAACCATCGATGGGGAACGATAAAACTATAAAAAACAGCTGTCTTGTAGCATCGTTCATGGTAAAACTGGAAGCCATCATTTTGTATAGTGAATGCTCAATTGCTGTTTGTTCTTTAGAGATGCATGGTGTTGCTTTTCTGTATCGGTTTTTGAAAATTTATGAGGCACCTAAATCATTTGATAATAGATATTTAATCGCAACAGGGGCTGATACAAGCATCCTACGGGTATTTTCTGTCAGCATATATCTTTCACCCTGTTTAGAGAAAGTCGAAAATTACCTAGCTTGTTTGAAATTATACCCTTTTAAACAGTTTTTGACAAGGCTTCGCCTTTTTGCTGTCCACATAATGGCCTCATAAATTATCGTTTGTAGGCATGACTCGGCTTCTATAGCTCGTACTTCACTACGTAAACAAACGGCTTCATTCATCGCCTTACTGCCCGCCTGTCAGCGCTGACCACACGTCTCAGCCATGTCGCGTGCATTGTGCACCGGCTGTTCTTAACAAAAGACCGTTTTCCCGGGCGGGCACCCCTCGCCCTGTCGTCCCGGCCCGGTCTGGATGAGGGGCGGGTCAGTAGCGGGGCGGGGCGGGTCAGCGGGGCGGGTCAGCGACTGGGCGGGGTAGCTGGCCGTAACGACCCTCCGTGCACGGCTGCCAGCCGCCGGCGGCGCCGTCAGCAGAGCGCCGTCTGTCCCAGTCGTTAACCGGCCATCTGCGGCCATTGGGGGCCGTGTTTGATGGCGGTGATTGTTTTGGGACGCCCGGGACGGTCCGCAACGAGATGATCCACCGCCGGCTGGGTGGTCTATGGCGCCCGACCTGGCCCTCTACGGTACTGGAGGCTGAGATAAAGCAGTGCATTGGCAGCACTAAATACCAAGCAAACGCACACTACATATAGCAGCCCATTCGGGTCGGGCCAATTACTCCAGGTACCCCAGTGAAACACATCAAGCTCATCTGCACTTGGGATCATGGTTTGCTCGATTTCGTCAGAAAATTTATGTGACGTTCTGTTTCTCATTTCTTTTACAGCATCGACCGCTGGCTGGTGCCTCCTCAGCCGAAGAAGCGGACGTCCTTCCTGAAGTCGCTGTCCGACATGGTGCCCTACCAGTTCTCTCTGCCGTACATCCGCAACAACTACGTCTACCTGGCCTTCCTCTTCCTCTTCCTGGCAGTCAACATCGGCATGTTCGTGGCGCGGATCGTCCAATTCCTCGACTTCCCGGTCGCCTACATCATCGCCAGGGCGTGCGGTAAGTCAGCACAACTCTATACTGTGAGTCTGTGACGTAAAATTGGAAACGAAGTCGCAGCGTTATCGTCAGATGCTGAAAGATTGTGCTTGCTCAGTTAGGTAGTTGGGCTTTTATAAAGAAGTACGCTTAATTCGTGATAAACATCTTTAAATGTGCGTATACTAATCGGGATCACTGTCTTTCCGTGCTCTAAATATCTACTGCTCTGCAGGTTACGTACTGAACTTTTGTTGTGCCTTCATCGTCGCCGTAATGCTCCGAAACCTGATCACGCTGGCTCGAACCAACGGACTCGCGTCCGTGCTGCCTTTGGACGAGCACATCTACTTCCACAAGATGGCCGGCTGGTTCATCTTCATCTACAGTGCCGTGCACACGATCGCTCACTTCATCAACTTCGGTTAGTGGAACCAAAAGTGATTACCTTCATCTAATGCAAGAGGCGCACCAAACTTTTTGTACAATGGCACAATTCTAAGCGATGTAAAATCTAGGTGATAAAAGTAAACAAAGTAATGCGTACTTTGTTTACGTATCTATTATTATTATTTCGTATCCATTATTATATTACATTTGTTTGTGTACTTTATTTCGTTAAGTAATACGTATCATTGCAAAACGCGTGTTTTAGTAATACAGATAAACTGTAACAAGTAATAAGCCACGCTCCCACATTAATTCATGTTACGCTCTCCGTTCTCTTGCAGCGGTGAACGTGGTGCCTCCGGACGGCGCGCTGGCGATCCTCAACGAGGGTAACTACACGTACGCCGAGTGGCTCCTGACCATGAAGCCGGGCCAGTTCGGCCTGGTGCCGGGCTTCGCCAACCCCAGCGGCGTCGCCCTCATGGCCATCCTCATTGTCATGGTCATCTGCTCACAACCGTTCGTCCGCAAGAAGGGAAACTTCGAGGTGAGCGTCCGAGTGAACTTGGGCGCGGAGGACAGAGGGGCTACCGTCTTTTGTTATCTAATATTTGTAGCGAGAAAAAGGTCGCTTAGTGGATAGTCAGGCTGAGGCACTTAGCAGTGTGTGATACATTATTGCAGAGGTAATTCGATTAAGTTTAAAACTCAATCGTTTGGAGGCATCAACGTTTCCTGTAATGCCACAGGCTTCATCCAGCCATGACAAGCTTCTCCAATGTCACCCGACTTCCACGCACGTTCCGCTCTGACCTGCCCCTGTGCCCGAGCTCAGGTGTTCTACTGGACCCACCTGCTGTACGTGCCGTTCTACATCCTGCTGATCCTGCACGCGCCCCACTTCTGGCACTGGTTCATCGTGCCCGGTCTGCTGTACCTGCTGGAGAGGCTGATCCGACTGGTGCGCACCAAGACGGGCCACGGACGCACCTACATCAGCTCGGGCATCCTGCTGCCCAGCAAGGTCACACACCTGGTGAGTGAGACATGGACACGGGCTGGGCACAAAGGTCACACAGGGCGAGAGGTCAGCGTGCAAGGTCACCCAACTGTTAAGTGAGTTTGCAAAGGACATGGGCGCGGGCTGAGGGGAATGGCATGATATAGTTTATGTCACGTTAGCAAGACCGTTAGCGGTTAGACTACAAAAATCATATAGGAAAACAACGTAACAGTTATATTTTTCATCGAAACATCTTTTTTTTTGCGGCCCGACAGGTAGTCATCGTCCCAAAAGGGCGTTTGCGGCTGCATTTGTACCTTTATTTAGCATGCAAGCTGAGTCGTAAATGTATTGCACGGGTCTGAGCTGACGTTTCTCACCCTCCTGTCCACCTCAGGTGATCAAGCGTCCGGCCAGCATGGACTACCACCCTGGTGACTACCTGTTCGTCAACATCCCGGCCATCGCCAAATACGAGTGGCACCCGTTCACCATCAGCAGCGCGCCCGAGCAGGACGGTGAGTTGGGGGAGTCTCGCGGCGGAACGGTGAGTTGGTGAGAGCTCTGCGGCGGAACGGTGAGTTGGTGAGAGCCCTGCGGCGGGCCGGTGAGCTGGTGAGAGCCCTGCGGCGGAACGGTGAGCTGGTGGGAGCCCTGCGGCGGAACGGTGAGTTGGGGGAGTCTCGCGGCGGGCCGGTGAGCTGGTGGGAGCCCTGCGGCGGAACGGTGAGTTGGGGGAGTCTCGCGGCGGAACGGTGAGTTGGTGAGAGCTCTGCGGCGGAACGGTGAGTTGGTGGGAGCCGTGCGGTGGGACGGTGAGCTGGTGAGAGCCTTGCGGCGGGACAGTGAGTTGGTTAGAGCCCTGCGGCGGAACGGTGAGTTGGGGGAGTCTCGCGGCGGAACGGTGAGTTGGTGGGAGCGCTGCGGCGGAACGGTGAGTTGGTGAGAACCCTGTGGCGGGCAGGTGAGTTGGTGGGAGTCTCGCGGCGGAACGGTGAGTTGGTGAGAGCCCTAATACGGGACAGTGAGCTGGTGAGAGCTCTGCGGCGGAACGGTGAGTTGGTGGGAGCGCTGCGGCGGAACGGTGAGTTGGTGGGAGCTCCAGCACACAGCGGTGAGCTGGCGAACGGTCAGGAGTAGGACGGAGAGTTCAGAGTTTCCGAACAGTCAGAGGAAGAATGACAAACAATCCCGTTTGTTTTTAGGCACAAGAGCGGCATAGTCTTTTGTTGTTCAGTGACTAAAGAGACCCACCTGACGCAACTTGTCCGCCCCCAGAGACGCTGTGGCTGCACATTCGCGCCCTGGGCGGGTGGACCCACCGGCTGTACGACTACTTCGAGGAGGAGCAGCTCAAGCTCCAGTGTCTGGAGGAGGGCAAAGACCCGGACGAGGTGCTCAAGGGAGAGCCGTCCAGCATTCAGAAGATGAAAAAGTGAGGAGACGTGCTGCATTCTGTGAACTAACAACATGTGTATTGACTTGTTATTCCGGATCGCACCTACTGACGCAGTGCCTAAGCTTGGACAGAGTCATCATTATTTTGCCAATGTGAAATACTTCGAACGCACTCGATATCAAAGTTTTACCGATATAGCCAACGATAGCCTTCCACAACAGCCGTTACTGACGACTCACGCGATTTATCCCGTTCCAGGTCGATCAAAAGGCTGGCGCCATCCAGCGACAAGAGCCGAAGAATCAGTTTCAACACCAAGCCGCCAGAAGTCCACACTGAGGGCGTCGTCAACGAGGCCTGTGAAGAAGTCGGCATGCAGCCCATCGAGGAGGAGAAGGAAGGTAAATATTGGCGCAGCCGCTCGCCGCGCACTCGGCAGCCCGAATTGATTTGCTGTTGACGTGTTCAGTTAGACTGCGGGCTGTGAGGAGCTGGACGCTGCGGGCCAATTCGGAGTCGATTTGTTTGGGAATTGAATTGGGACACCCAATTATGTTAGCCGTAAAGTGCTAAAGTACATGTCGAGCTATGCCTCGCTGCTCAATGGAGACACAGACGAGCATTTTACGGTAATGGTAACAAATGGACAGAACGCACGCACACCCACAAATGGAATGGATATCCGAGCTTACGGGCGACTCCGTATGATCAGTTGATGAAATAACAAACACAGACAGTGTGCTACATTACAAGTTCTCACCAATGCAGTTGACGTCCTCGGTCCGGTCTGCACGGTAATCACGTTCACATAGTTGGCTGATGTAAGGTCGATCCCCCGCTGACGAGTTCTCTCGAGAGAACCACACCGCGCTGATGTAAGGTCGATCCCCCGCTGAGAACCACACCGCCTGCGGGTTCACAACGGCCCCTCCCCTTTAACGAGAAAAACGAAATAGTGTTCTAGGAATTCCATGGAAGAAGGTAAAAAAAAAAATCACTGCTGCACGTGCTGACGCGCTCGCTGCCCTCTGTCGACTGGCGCCTTGGCGTGTCCCTCTCCGCTTCCCTCTCACCCCATGCCTCCCCGCGGCCATGCGCCGTCCTCCCGCCGTCCCTCCCCCTCCCGTTGTTCCCCCTCTCTCCCCTCACTTCGCCGTGCGTCCCGTACCCGGTCCGTCAACATACCTTACCGTCTCCGCCGTTAAGGTGGCTAATAACAGGCAATATCTCACTTCTTTAGGACGACGGAGTTGGTAACACAAACACATAGATAGTACGAATACATCTTACCTTTACACGCTACTTATCTACCGTCGGTTTTCAATCAGTTATATTTTACAAACTGCTTGCAATAACTGACTGCAATGCAATGCCTCAGGCGCTTATATTCCCGTATACATTTACGTTCATTATATAAAGGCCTGCTTTGTTCGCATTCCGTAAAATGCAATTCCATGGTATTGAAAGATGCCTCGCATGCATAATCTCTCTCTCTCTCTCTCTCTCTCTCTCTCTCTCTCTCTCTCTCACACACTCTCTCTCTCCCTCTGTCTGTCTGTCTGTCTGTCTGTCTGTCTGTCTGTCTGTCTGTCCTGTCTGTCTGTCTGTCTCTGTCTGTCTGTCTGTCTGTCTGTCTGTCCCTGT